ATTTTAGGTGAAATGTACAATATATTGAGACTTCTTTTTCTTGCAAATGTTTATTGTGACATTTCAAAGTGGAACTTTTGATTCAAAAATGTAAATGCTATTAATATGCATATTCAGACAAAGAATAAGCACATACGTAGGAGGTTTAGAACCCTCATTTTTAGTTTCTCTAGTCTGTTCTGATACACTACAATTCTAAGATGTTTTCTGTGTAATCACTGAAGAAGAAGTGGAAAAAATACTGGAAGCTCTTCTGTGTTATGTTTGCATTGTGGTATCGCTGTCTGGAATTCCTGTCTCCTGTGAAATATTTGATGTAGTGCAGAGTTAAGACTGGAAAAGCTTAACAGTGTTTACAGTTAGAGATTGCTAATACATATGGACATGTAACAAAACACCTCTGTTTGTAGGCAAAAAATTAAATGTGAGGCAACCTGCACTGGACAACTAATTTTGAACTCTTGTGAATTATACATACAAGGTACAATGAAGAAGTGGAAGTACAGAAAGAATTTAAGGAAAAAAATGTAACTTACTTCTAGATTTTAATTTCTTTTTTCATTGAAAATTCAAGTTGTTTTTACTAATCAGTTTTCCAGATCATATTGTTCCCTGTCTGGTACTTGAGCTGTAATCAGTTACAGTTGCAGTTTTATTTCTGCAGTTAACACTTTAAGACATTGCTGCTGGTGGTGTTTGTTCATTTGCTTATTCGAGTGGGATGCTTCTCATTAACCCCTTCATCACTTAGTGTAGGAAAGGACATAAGTGGTGCCAGGAGGGCACAGGAAAGACATGAGAGTTCCAAAAGCTCCTTGTGAACACATCAGGCTTCTCTGAAAATACTGAGTGATTTCATGAGTAAAATGAGAGCTGACTTTCAGTGCAGATGAATGCCAGGCATTGAGGAGGGGACAAAACAGGCTTACATACCAAACTGTGCCTATAGCAAAACATAAAACAGTGACTGGTTCCTGGCTATCTGTTGCTGCTCAGGGAAATGGCATTGGGTTTGTTTTGGATAGTTTTCTGCAAGCATCTGTTTGGTGGTAGTTTAAAAAAAAAAAACAAACCCCATATTGAATATTGTGTGCTGTTTTTGGCCCTGTTCCAAGAGCTAATAGAAGAGGAAGAAGCATGGAGAAGAATGGCAGGCTTGGACTGGCCTCTGGAAGAAGAAAAGGGAAATAAGACTGGGGCTAGTCAATCTGGAGAAGGGTTCTGATGAAAGGAATGAAGAAGCTTAACATGTATGTTCCAGAACTTGCTGCCAAGAGATACTTTGGAAGACAAACCCGTAGTGGTTTCAAAAATAAATTGGACAATCCTGTGGAGAAGATGAATTTAAATACATGGGGTTTGGTGCAGCCTATGATTTTGGGCATGCAAATTTAGTAATTGCTAAGTTTCTGTGGCTGGAGTTAGAGAAAATAGTCAGACAGTATTGTTCACACCTCTCATGTTCTTGTGCTTGTTCCTTAGGCATCTATGCTAAGCTTTCAGAGACAGCACACTCTGTCAGTCAAACCTTGAATGAAGAGAACCAACACATATGTACCCAAAAGGAAGTGTGGAAAAGAAGCTTTGCTGGTTTTATACCATCTCTTTGGATGTATCCCCAGTATTGTTGCAGGGAGGGGAGTATTTGTATTCAAGGTTTGATAGTAAGCTAAAGTAAGTAAGCTAAACTGAACTTCTCAGTAGTAGTGAGGCATGAATATATTAGAGAGGTGCTTGGGATTTTAATTTTGCTTTGTTGTAAAGTGAGCATAACTTGTGTTTTTAACAAAAACAGCTTTGTTCTGCCTCTTTCCCAAAACTGGTATGCTGTGTCTGTCTTCCTTTGGATAAGACTAGTTCCTTTTCTTATCTGTTGCTCATAGCCTTAGTTTTTTTCCCTCCAAGGGCAGTTGCCTGAAATTGCTGTCTGTTACCAGGTTTTGGTCAACAGCTGCAGAACAAAGTATTCCTTAACTTCCTTTTGCATCTGTGTAGTGGAGCTTTGGCTTTGTCCAGTAGTACTATTGTCTTCAGCTCTGAGATCACATTGTTAACAATCTGCAGGTAGAAAGGTTTTTATATAACTATAAGCTGTTTGTTTACACTTAAAACAGTTCTTCATTAGTTGACAATATCCAGGGTAAACAGCCTTTTTTTCCAAGTCCTTACTTATTTTTGGAAGCTCAGTTTGAAAGGAGAGGGCCGTAGTGTTTTATCTTTGTTATGCTATCTCTATTAATGTCTAAAATGCAGAACTGCTTTTGGTTTGTTACAAAACTCTGTTTTAAAATACAGCTGTAATTATCCTGAAGATAAGTCACCTAATGTAAAGTTTTCATGTAAGGAAATCTCTGGCAATACAATTAAATCTCAGTTGAACTTTTTTATTTTCATCCCTGTTTGTTGTACCATGTGTTCAAGACTGAGCAGTAAAACCACCTTTGCCTATGTACTTAAAAAATGAAATTCTGCTTTATGCTCTCTGAGTTGTCCCTTTGCTTCCAAGGACCAAACACCCAGAGAAGGAGCCCCCTGTGCTGTCAGCTACACAGGCCCCCAAACTTCCATCAGTAATGACAAGCATTAACAAACATGTGTTAAACCTTTCTGTGCCATATTCTGATCTGTACTGGCTGGCCGAGTCTCCCTGTGCAGAACTGTGGTTTCTAAAGCTGACAGATTTTTTTATTCCAGTCCAAGTATCCTGGAATAAAAAAAAAAGTGTTTACATGATTGGAAAGAAGAGACTTCTTCCTCTTCCAGAATTGCAGCTGTCCCTTGCTTGTGGTTTGAAACTCCAACTATTGATAAGTGTAGACAGGGTTTATATAAAAAATCAGGAGGTCTCTTGCCAGTTCAATAAGCATGAAAATTGGCCTGTGGTGTTTACATCTTGATCTTTCTTGCCAGAAGTTTTGTCTCTCAAAGTATATAATCATTGTTTCTTTCATCTCAAAAGTAATTTTCTGGTATTTGAGTGTATCTTTGGAAGCATGAGTGGTGGGAAAATACAGGCTCAAAGGTCTTGCACAAGTTTACTGACTTCTTGTTTTGGCTTAGTCTAGTCTGTCCTGCTCTCCCAATTCTCCATGGTCTTCACTATGGCTAGAACAAAAGGACAACTTTGTGTTGTGTTCCTAATGAAATATGAGGCAACACTGGTGTTCCTGCAAATTCCCTTTCAGGAGAATTCTTTTAAGGGAATGTAATTGCCATAATATGGTTTCAAAAAAAGTTGAAAGCCTTCCTCATCAAGTTCATATTTAGTATACACCAAATTTTTATTTATTCTACTGAAATGAAATTGAAAGCAATTTTATAAGCCATGGAAAATTTAGGAATAAATGTGAAATTTTTGTGTCAATACAAAAGACTAATCTTCCATTTCATTTTGTTCATCTCTGCCTCTGAAACTGATCTCAAACTGAATCCAGTTTCTTACTTTTCACTTTAAACAACTAAAAAATTCTGAATTGTCTTGAATTTCACAAAAAGTGAGATGGTAAGAGGTGTAAATCACTAATACAACAAGAAAGACCTTAAAAATAGAATAAAATCTTATTTTATTGTATAGATCTTAAACAGATGCCTAATTAATCATAATGTATTTATAATAAGCTATTTATTTCAAATTATTTGATATAAAAACTTAATTTATATCCAGAAACAATTTCTGGAATATAAGTAGGAAAATGTATAATGTTCTAAATTTTAATTAGTCTCTTTTCTTATCTCTCTCATACTTCATATGAGTCAAGGTAAGCAGCACTTTAATACAGTTGAAATATCAAGATATTGAACATTCCAATTACTTAAATGAGCCTCTTTAATGTCTTCATTGGATGCACAATTGTTTGAATTATGTTGTAGTTAAAATTTGAAATAATTTAATTTAAAAATATAACTTATTCAGAAAGATAATGACAAATTACAATAACATTTAATTAATAATTTACTTATATATGGTTTAACTCTACTTCCTAAGACATCATATGCATATGTGATGTTCTGAAGTACCTGTTAGTGAGATTAGGACACTGGCTTTCCAGAATTTAGTCCCAGAGCTCAATTCCCAGGACAAGTCTTTCAAAACGTTACTGTCTTGGATTTTAATATTTTTAATTCCCCCCCCCCCACACACACTCCATTACTTTAGTATGACAAATCTGGGGGAGATTTTGCATGGAGATCTAAACATACAGATCCTGTATGCTCTCTTATTTTCTCTAATGAATGGTAATTATTTGGTATTATGTTTCTAATGGGCACTGCAGAAAAACCTGTCCCTTCCGTGACATGAAGAATGGCCTGTTTACTTGCATGCCTTCAAACTCCTTCTGTGTAAGGGATCGGGAACAAGACCAGCAAAACTTAATTCTCTATTTGCCAATTCCAGTAGCAAAAAATGTTTGACATGAGAAAGATTGCATTGTCTGTGAATCCATTAAAATATCCATCACTTCATGGGTCTTGTACTCCTCTCAAAGTATAGTCTGCATTTCTTCATTTCCATTTTTCTTGTAAAACTATTATGCTTTTTATGATCTTGTCAATCAAATCCTTTATTTAGTTTATTCTAAGTGTCTTTTGCTTTGTAATAACTTCTGATTGAAACAAAGGCTTTTGCTTTCTCTTAGCAATGTTGATGTTGTTAAATGACTTTAAAATGTTGGAAGAGGAGAAAGCAGACCATTAACCTACTGAAGTGCCTTGGTATTAGGTTAAATACACATTTCTCCCCTTCTAAAAATAAGTGTATGAAAATTGGTCTGTTTGACTTATTCTAATTGTATATTCTCAAAATTGTAAAATTAATTTCTTGAATCCCTTTGTCATTTCAATTTTGTTCTGTTCACAGTGTCTCTTTCAATAACTTCCAGGAGACAGAATTTCATATTTACTGTGTGCTCTTAATATGAGTTGCATGTTTTCATGCTAACAGGGATTTTGAGATGGGTGAGCTACTCAAATGTAATTGTACTTGTTTAAACTCGTTCCAGGTACACCCACCTTTATGGAAGCATTAGCAGCCAATGGTACAACCAACATCCAGACATCTGTGACAGCCAGCAAGCGAAGGTTTATTGATGACAGGAGAGATCAGCCCTTTGATAAAAGGCTGCGTTTCAGCGTGAGGCAAACGGAGAGCGCGTACCGGTACAGAGACATTGTTGTCAGGAAACAAGATGGATTCACACACATTTTGCTATCAACAAAATCGTCTGAAAATAATTCATTAAATCCAGAGGTCAGAACAATTCTGATTTTGGGAGGGGAAGGGAAGGGAGTTTGAAGTCCTTGCCTTTTTTCTGCTTGTTATTCAGGCACAAATGTATGCAGAACACGATACAGGTTCTTACTTGCAAGGTGTTATATGCACACTTGACTCTATGTGTAACTCACTTGCATTTAAAAATTCTGTTACCTGACCATGTTGATGTGTACTGTCTTTTATAAGATGTACAGTGATTTACAAAGCGCAACTTGAAAAAACCTTTAGCCTCAATTAAGGTTCTTTTTTTTTCTGCACTGGTTGCATATGCCATCTGCTGTCCAAATTACAGAAATGCTGAATGAGTGCTTTAGTTACAGATCACACCTAATAGATCTTTCCTTAATGATTTAATTATCTTTGTCTAATTACATTTTTGAAATGCAAAGCTTCTGATACATTAACTTCCTTTTTTTGGGTAATGAAGGAAGTTAACTTTTCTAATAAGATGGTTGAGTGGATCCTAAGGAAAAATTAAAGGTGTTGAAGGGTCTCATAGGGGGAGGAAGGGAAGAGAACAACATGCTACTTTGTAATGATGGATTAAAATGATTCTTATGAAATTTTTATTTTCAGGTAATGAAGGAAGTCCAAAGTGCACTGAACACAGCAGCTGCAGATGACAGTAAACTTGTGCTGTTCAGTGCAGTTGGTAGCATTTTCTGCTGTGGTCTTGATTTTATTTATTTTATACGACGTTTAACGGATGATAGAAAAAAGGAAAGCACTAAGATGGCAGAAGCTATTAGGTATGTATGGCTATCTTCAGTCATCTGACAGGTATTGTTCATCATATGGCCTGGCTTGTTCTGTCTTTATTTCAGAAGCCTCTTATTCAAAAATATCTCAGACATTCACCAGTTACATTATAGTGTGCAGCACTTCTTTATGTTTCTTGTCCTTTTCTATTTGGGTTGTCATTTCATGCATTTTTAATTTTAAATTTTAACAGTGAAAACTGGGAGTATGGCAATACTCATGCAGTTAAAACCAATATTAAAATACTTCAATAGCCTTAGGGTTTCCAGAAAACAAATTTAATACACCAAAATTGAAGACACATATTGAATTAGTAAATTGATATAGTACATTAAGAGAAGTGGAATGATGGATATTTTAGAGGAGTAGATTATTACTTGTGATTATCTTCCCAATGCCGGGTACCAAACCTAACATTTAAACAAATTGATCTGAACTATTACCAAGTAGAAGAAAATATATGGAAAAAAGTATGGATCTTGGAGACACATTTTAGTAATACAAACAAGTACATTTGAGCATTGGTTTTGAGATCCTGATCTCTTGCATTCTTTCAGAGTACCTATATTCTTTCAGAGCCCTTCTTCTGTTCTTGTTATCAATGGTCATGTTTCTAAAAAAAGGCCATGGCTATGTAAAATCTGTTTCATTGGAGGCACAGTTGGTTCATAAGGATGATTATAGTTATTTTTATCAAAGGAAATTCTTCAGTCGTATCATGTAAAAATTGCTTATGCAGTGACTTCAGATATGGCCAGAAGGTCTTAGCACTATTTTAATTTGGGCCCTTCCAGAAACCTGTTTTTCACCTAATATTCATTGTAATAAAATGGGCAAAGGTGACTTAAAAGACTTATAGACACGTACCCTCCCTTTCAAATAAGGTATTTTTCATGTATATTCTAGAGGTGGTCCTTTCTGGCATATTCAGACATGATTAAAATTATCTTAAGTCTCTGGATGGGATGTTTGTATGACACATGAGATGGTTTAGATTTGAGTTCTTTGCATTTAGCTATTTCAGTTCACTAGAATGAGTTAAGGAGTATGATAACCTTTAGTGCTGAATGTGATATAGTAAAATTGTTCTGTTTTGCAGAAATACAAAAATATGTAACACAGGGAGCAAACTTTAAAATTACCTGTGTATGTATTCATACACACGTGACTGTTTTTTCCCAAGAAGCTTTTGGAAGCATTACTGTTTCAGAACAGAGAAGCATCCGTATTTTGTGGGTACTGGAATGAATTGTTATTTTTTGTTGTCAGTGAGGATAAGAATGTGCATATGCCACCTAATAGTGTAGTACCCAGAGCATTATTACTGACCAAAAGAAGGGTGATGGGGACGTTTACAGATGTGTGATATGGGATAATAGAGCTCTACTATTAATGTTCATAGTTTTAAAAAGCAGATTTATTTGTTAAGAGCTCCTCAAGGAAGACCAATAATGCTTTGGCCATGGTCATTTGTACCTTATTACTGTCACTTAAAAACACAGGTAAATACCTTATGCCGATGCCACACGTAAATGCAGCGAGGACCAAGCAGGGCTGTGCCACAGCTGTGGCACCCAGAGGTGTGGAAAGGCTGCAGCCTTATCTGGGAGCTGTGGATGTACCAAAGTGCTGATGTATCAGCTGATGCTTATAGAGGGGTGTTAAATCTGCACCTGCCCAACTACTTTGATGGGTTGGGCTGGGAGGAATGGTAGGCTTTTACAGAACCAAAAAATGGTTGGGACATTTGCAGGTCATCTTGTTCAGCCTGCTCAAGCAAGGTCACCTAGAGCAGATTGGCCAGCACCATTTCGTGGGGTTTTTTAAATCTCCCAAGATAGTGAGTCCATGACCTTGTTGACTGCCTATTTGGTCACCCTCACAGTAAGAAAGTGTTTCCTGCTGTTCAGGGGAAACCTCCCATGTTTCAGTTTGTGCCCACTGCCTCAATGGGTGCCACTGAAAAGAGCCTGGCTCTGTCCTCTTTGTATCCCCTTTCAGGTACTTTTACACTTTGATGACATCCCCTGAGGCTTCCCTTCTCCAGCCTGAGCATGCCCAGCTCACTAAGTCCCTGGGTCACCTTGATGCCCCTTTGCTAGGCCATCTGGAATCTCCATTTCACTGAGAAGTCCATAATGACACTGGGGCTGAGCAGAGGGGCAGGATTAACTCCTGCACACTCCAGACAACATTCCTCCTAAAGTAGTGCAGGATAGCACTGGCACACTGCTGGCTCAAGTTCAGCTTAGTATCCACTGGGAGCCCTAGCTCAGTTTCTGCCAAGCTGCTTTCCAGCTTGTCTTCCAGCATACATTGATCCTGGGGTTGTTCCTCCCTGGGCACAATGCTTTGCACTTCCCTTGTTGAGCTTTAGGACGTTCCTGTCAGCTCATTTCTCCAGCCAGTCGAGGTCCCTCTGGATGGCAGCACAATCCTCTGGTGTATCAGCCTTGTTTTGTATCCTGAGCAAACTCACTCAGGATAAGCTCTTCCCCATCAACCAAATCATCAGCAAAGCTGTTGAACAGTGCTGGACCCATCACTGACCCCGTGGGGTGCAACACTTAAATCACTGGCTTGTGCCATGAGTCACCACCCTCTGGGCCAGCCATTCCTACATTTTCCAGTCCACCTCACTGTCTGCTCATCCAGCTCATACATCAACAGCGCGACTCTGAAACTCTTACGAGAGACAGTGCTGAAATCCTCACTCTGAGCTCTGTGTGGACAACATCCACCTCTCTCCCCTCATCCACCAAATAACCACCTCATTGTGGAATGTTATCAGCTTGGGTTTGAAGGTGATGTTACTGTGAAGATGAATTATTATGCAGTTTTCAAGGGCTGTTATATTTTACACTCAGTATATGTAGTGAGCGCATGTTTCTGTTTCTCTTCAGGAATTTTGTGAATACTTTTATTCAGTTTAAGAAGCCTATCATTGTAGCAGTAAATGGCCCAGCCATTGGACTTGGAGCATCTATATTGCCTCTGTGTGACGTGGTCTGGGCCAACGAGAAGGCCTGGTTTCAGACACCATACACTACTTTTGGACAAAGTCCAGATGGATGTTCATCCCTTACATTCCCTCGGATTATGGGCCTGGCTTCTGTAAGTAGCTTGCAGGGTAGGGGCTGACAGCTTCACAATTCAGTTGGGATAATTTATCCAGTGTGATTTCAAGACTTTTTGCCTTCCTGTATTGTCTTTTTCTTAATTTTTTTCTTTCTCTCATGAAAACCTTTCATGAGAAGCCACCCCTTACAGCTTTTCTGCTTCATGCTCTTACAATTTAACTCTTCACCTGCATACACAGAACAGAAAACAGGCATGGGATTTAATCCCACCTGGGCCCTTATGGTGTCAGAAGGGTCATGTCCTGTGTCCCCAGACACACTTCCCTGCTGCTGCCTCATGGGGACCAGCCACAGGAGCCTTGCACTCAGCACAGCACCAGCGTGGCACTCAGTGTCACTGCACAGCAAGGCGCTGTCACACCAGCCAGGAGCAGTCTTATGCCAAATAATATATGCAAAATAACTATTTCAGTTTCCATGCACCCCTAACAAAAAGTTATTTAAGAATCTCCAACCTGTGTTATTTTCATGTTGCTTAGTGTTCTTTCATGCTGTGTTCTTTGAAAACTTAGACCTATGTCCTATTCCAGTTTGGACACTATGAAACAAGTGCTTGTGGCTACACCTGTTTTCCAAAATCACTGTTTGTTATAAAAGCCATTTTTTCCCCTGTAGGTATTTAATGATTTTTTCCCTGTAGGTATTTATTGATTTAAAAAAATATATATTAAAACACCAGTTCTAATAGATCTAATAGCTAATTGTGTCATATTTGGATTTAGTTTTAGAAGAGATCAGAAAAGGTAACTGAAATAGATTAACAGTTATAAGAGTATCTTTAATATCTTAGCATGTTTCAAATTACTGATTGTTCCTTTCCCTTTTTATTTGGCCATCCATCCATTCATCCATCCATTCCATACATCCTCGTCCTTTAAAGACTTGTGGTTGTTACTTTTCATTTCTTTAGAAGTTGTGCAAAAAACACAAGCTCTTCCCTAGTGCACTCTTTCATGTGTGTTTGTGAATGCTCTCATTCTTAAATAGAAAGATTTTAGTTGAAATCATCCAGTGGTAACAATTCCAAAATGATCAGTGCAAAAAGGGGAAAAAATCCACTGGTTTTATACTATCCTTGACTCTGCAGCAAAGCAGTGTCTCTATGGTACAAAGCTGAGCTTTACTTAGCACATTTCATGAAATATATTCAGAATCCATACTGAAGACTTTGATATAGATATAGAAGATATATTTTTGAAGATATGTATAGTAGATACAGAAGTATGTTTTTGTCTGTAAAAGAGAGAGAGAAGTCAGCAGGAAGATGTTATGAGTGAAATGCAAAACATTCAGGGGAAAAATATACAAAGCAAAAAATTAAGGCCTCTGAATGCATCATAATATTTTCTACAAATATATCAATTCATCAGGAATAGCTCCACCCCTAACTCTTGTAAGTCAGTCTTATAATGCAATGTTGTTAGCTGCAGCTATGTAAAAATGTTCCATTGCAAGATTCCTGGAAATATCTTCCATGTGGAGTCAGTCACTTTCTGTGGGTGAGCAGGTCTGTCATGGAGGGGGATTTCTTTTTCCCCCATTTTCAACCATGGGTTTATTCCAGGAAATTTGAAGCCCAAACTTTAGGCTTCAAAACTGATACCATCTTGGAACTACCAAGAATTTTAGAAATGTCCCTAAACTTGGCTTTTGAGTTTTGAAAATAATCTGTAAGACATTGAGGTGATGTCTGTATGGGGAGATGTTATTATGAATCTGCCATGGAGCTCTTGCTCTGCTTGTCAGGTCCTAGATGTGAAGCCCAGGAGCTGTGTGATCACACATCACACACTGGGTCTCCCTGCCAGGCCCCAGCATGCCTGGCAGGATGTCTTAGCTTTCCTGTCAGTCATGAGGGAAGCACAGTTCCTCTGTGCCTGGAGTCCCTGTCACAGCCAGGGTCTGGGGTGGTCAGAGGCCAGCTGCCCCCTGATCATGGTGCAGGAGAGCCGAGCTGCTCCATGGCCCTGGTGCTGTGGCCTTGCACCAAAGAGCCCTGGTGAGCCTCAGAGTCCTCACTGAAGAGAGTCCAGAGGTTCAAGTGAAGTTCCTCTGTGGAAGGAGACATTTTCTACTCAGAGTAGAAAGTGAAGGTTGCTAATGAGATTCTTAGTGAAATATTTTGTCACACTCATTTCTATGGCTGTAGTGTTTTTCTTGGAAAGTAACCACCAAGTGAGTTAATTTTTACAGCAGGTACAAGGCATGATTATGATTAAAGCTTGTTTAGCAGTTGGTCTCCAGCAGATGTTGTGTATAGATCAAAAGTGAAGATGCCAGAGCAAGAGATTTCCCCTCAAAGCCTGTCAAGTGAGAACATCAATGGGAATGCTCATTTCTTGTGAGATTTTATGCTAATACTATGTTACAGCTGGCAGAAATAAGATAACTGCACCATTCTCACTTAGGGTGTTTCATGTTCAGGAGAACTCAGCAGTTGCAACTAAGTTTTAGTGGGGGGGGGGAAAGATTTTCTAGCATTGGTTTTTATCCTTGCAAAGATACATATGAAGAATATGTAGCCCTGACCACCTGGCTTAAATGCTTGCCTGTCATAACTATCAGTTAGATTGACTTCACATTTTGATCTTTCATAGAAATGTTAAGTGGGTTTAAATTATTTTGGAAGACTAATTTTTCCCCAACTGTGTAGGAAAAAGGATTCCTTTTTTAGACAACCATGTGTACATCTCTGAGTCTTATCTAGTATTTCAGGTTATTATTATTCACATACATTCTGGAAAATGAGAAGGAATGGTTAATGAACCTGTTTATTTGATACTGTGTTCACAGAGGGTAGAACTATAGGGTATAGAACTCAATCACAGTGGAAGAGATTTGGGTTTTTGTCAACTAATATATGTGAATCACAGTTTTCCATAGTAACTCTGAGAGATGTGCTGATGGTAAAATCACAGTAAAATACACTAGGAAGCTGGCTGGGTTTTTTTCTTGCATTCCAAATGGACTGGCAGTCCAGAAGCAAACTACCAGTAGAGCCCACACTTCATATTTCATTACAAAGGAACAAACAAGAGACTGCAGAATCTGCACGTTGCTTCATGTGTAAAATGCAATACCAGGGACATGGCAGCACAGCAAATGAATAATTGTTTATGAAGTTAATAATTAATTATTTGAGATCCTTAACTGAAAGTTGCTGAAATAATTACCAGATGTTCCGCTACTGGAAAATGTTAAAAACCTCAGTATTTTTCCCTCAGAAGTGTTACACCTGTCAGGTTTGTGTTTTAGAACAGCCTTATTTCCTATATTTCATGAATCCAGTAATGGCTTTGTCATATTTTTCAGTGGAAATAAGTCGTTATGAAACTATAGCACTAATTTTTTTTTTGAGGCTGATTATTACTCTGATTTTTTTAATTTCCACTGCCTGTTTCCATGTAAATGTCACTGCAAACTGTATAAAAGGCTTCACTAAAGCTAGAATTAAAGTGGCTGTAGGACAAAACTTTAATGGGGAAATTGGTACATAGTAAAGTGCATGATAATTACAAATCAAAAACATATACAGAACTAGAGAGAGCATCTTGTTGCATAGAAGGTAGTCCTCAATTCTGTATCTTGAACCATGTGCAAGATCTTTTAAATATCGAGGGTTTTTAATAAGACTGCTATATCAGTTACTTAAAGGATTTATCATTTTAGTATTGGACTGTTGAAGCAAATGTGAATGTTTATTTTTTATGAATTTGGCCAGAAATTGGAATACATCATTATAAAGGGCAAGCTGATGTATTCATTGCTGCTTTACAGATTGGCCAGGCATTATAACCTATTCCCACATACACAGATAACCAAGTCAGCAATACTGTAAGAAAGCCAGAGCTAGCAAACATTCACAGCCAGGAAATGACAGAAGACATTTTCACATTTAACCATTAATCATAGACATCCACATTTCAATAACTACTGACCTAGTACTGGTCAACAACACGGACCAGCCAGCTGTAGGCCAGTATTTTTCTTTTTTTAATTAAAACTTGGAAGAGCTGTAATAAAACTATTTCAAACAGTGCAGGCATTTTTCTTATTTGTTTTGAACATTTTTCCTTTGATGAGTTTTGTCTCATTACATTTCATACCAGAAGTAACTTTTTATCCCTTCAGGCCAATGAAATGTTGTTCAGTGGAAGGAAGCTGACGGCGCAGGAAGCTTGTGCCAAAGGACTCGTCTCCCAAGTGTTCTGGCCAGGAACATTCACACAGGAAGTAATGGTTCGAATTAAAGAACTTGTCACATGTAATTCAGTTGTAAGTTTCCTTTATCTTCTTGTATTTTTATGATTAGATGAATAAGAATTAATCTAAGTAGTACTGCACTGCATCTTCTTGTCCTGGGGAAAAAAAACAAGGAGTCTTTTCATGAAATGAGGACTGCATTATAACACAGCAAGGTTTTTTGACAGATTTTTATGTATCTGTTTGGTTTGGGTTTTTTTAGGATTCTTTTTAAAGTGTCTATCTGATTCTTAACTATAGCGTACTGTGGCATTTGATAAGGAACGTAAACTAAACCAGCATTGCATTTTTATAATGTAATTTGGTATTAACAGAGTTGCTGAAGTCCAACTTACTCTATTCAACAGTACAAACAGTTGCCCTAATATCTGCACAGAAACACAGAAATCTTGAGTTAGGTTGAGTTCTAATTTAAGTTACCAAGGAAATAAATACAGTCTTTGAGGTTGTGCTGGACTTTGTTTTATGAGTAACACATAGTGGTTGTGTGTGCTGCTGGCAGTTGCACAAGATGGCATCAAATAGTGATAATTTTACCTTTCTTACAAGGAAAGATGCAGTACAAATTAACTGTTCTATGCACTAGAAATTTTGGATTTTAAAAGCAAATTATTAATTTTCTAAACAGAAAAAACAAACAAGATTTTTTTTCAGTGTATTTTAAGTGCTCAAGAGCTGAAGATCTGGTCCCTTACTAGAGCAGTTTGGGATACAAGTGTTATGATTAGCCTTCACTACTATGGCCTTGCTCTTTCCTATAGTTACAAAACCATATATATATGTAGATATATTTTCATAGTTACTTTATGATTTTCATTATTTTCATACCTCTGTGCACTTTTAAGTTGTGCTGGTATAAGGCAAAGGAAATTTTGTAGGATGGCACAAGGCAGATGACTATGAGAAACATTTCTTAAAGTCATAGTAATGAATTGATAAGCTTCAGTTGATAATCAGCTCCAGCATTTGTCTATACAAACCTGTTACTTGCCCATAGAAGCACCTGGGGTGCTCAGTTCTCAGGCAATACTAACCCAACTCCCCCTTTTTTAACTTTGGCCCAGGTACTTGAAGAATCCAAAGCTTTAGTACGGAACATCATGAAGGTGGACTTGGAACAAGCAAATGAAAAGGAGTGTGAAGTTTTAAAGAAAATCTGGGGCTCAGCACAAGGGATGGACTCAATGTTAAAATATCTGCAGAACAGAATTGATGAATTCTGATGAGATGCCCATGACACTGGAATTGTATTTCTTGGACATCAGGGCAAGCAAAATAAGCCCATTTTAAAAACCCTTATATAAACTAACCCCTTGCTCAGCTTGGGAACAGGAGTGGACACACACCCCCCTCCCCTTTTATTGTCAAGGGGTTTAAAAGTACTGTATCTCTTAAATTTGAACAAAACTCCTTTCTCCCTGATTGTTACATGCAGATGTATACACACACAAGTGTATGTGTGTGCATATATCTATATATGTCTTTTATATATATATATATATATATATATATATATAGATATAAATGTAATATGTGTGAGAGTGTGTATGTAGACACACACACACACTAGGTTAAAAATTATAGAGTGCACTACCAAACATCTCTTTAAAAGCTCTAGTTTTTGTTATCTTTGGCTAGTACTGTATCAAATAGAGAATTAATTAAAAAGTGAATGGTGTTGCATTATTTTCTGTGTGGCAGGGAAGTCTGGAGTAATGCTTTTCTTTTTCATGAGAATATAGAATTGAAACGGGTATTAGCCAGCCCTTGCTTTCTCTGCCCAACGAGTCAGCTTAGAGAGAAGGTATTGTCTCAGAAGAAGGTTGAAATACCTCAAGTAATGGAACATTCTGAAACTTTGGGGTAAATAAACCCTATTATGCTTAAATCACACATATCCCCAGAAAGAGAGTGTGCTCAGGATTAATGCTAAGGAAACACTCTGTTATTTTTTGGGGGGGAGGTATGGAGGGGTGGGAGGAAGGGGCAGGATTCTTACCCAGACAGCATGAAGAAACCACTGTCTCTTAGGGAAAGGAATGAGGGAGAGCCAGAGGGAAATGGAAGGGGGAAGGAAGGAAAACAAAACAAAAAAAAAACCAACACAAAAAAGCTTGTTTTGCAGTATTAGTGAATCACTGAATATCTTATGTATGAATATCCTAAGTTATAAGTTAGTTTTAGTGGGTTTTTAAAAAGCCTCTTTGGGTTGTTGTTTGTTTGTTTGGGGGTTTTTATTTGTTTATTTTGGTTTTTTTAATAACTACATAAGTGCTCCTGTTGCTGGGTGAAAATACTACTTTATATACAGTTTGGGGTTTTTTTTTTGGTTCTTTTTTCCTATTTGCTGGTTTAATTGATGTATTACACCAAAAATGCATTTTATGTTCATAAATTTTAGGTTCACTTAGAATATATTATTTAATAAGTTAAAATTCTTTTGGCACACTATTAAGTAAAAAAAAAACTCTTTAAAAAAAAAAACTACCTTATATTAGATGTTTAATGTTCTTTGTCTATGCTTTTTTATTATTTGAAATATACACTATATGCAGTATGGTGTAAAAGAGTGCCCTGTGTAAATAGACCTATTTTGCATTCCTTTCAGGAGTGGTTATTGATTCCTGACTGCAGATATCGATTACTTGGGTATCTGTGCTTGCAATCTTATTGAATGTATTATGAAGAATGAAAATTAAATCAAACCTTATTTTTGTACAGTTTTGAACTTTTTACTTAGAACTGACCCACCTCCCCTTCCCAGTGGAGAGCTGTACAGTGTGTAAATCTGCCTTTACCTTGAATTGGTACAGTATTTTTGCATCTGTGGGACCTACTTCTTTGTTCTAGTAGTTTGAACTATATATAAACTGTACAATCTGTAAAGTTTTTATAGAATAAATATTCAGCTGTGAAAACTGGTTAAATAAAACTAATATTTCTTAACACGTTTTAAATATGGTTCTCTCACAGAGTTGTCTTTTTCAAAGACACTTCCATTCTAGTTTTGAAGTTGCTGAAATAAATCTTGTAACTCAGAGGCTTTAATGTTTGTTTTATTTTGTTTAAAAACTCTTAATTTCCTTCAAATTAAAACTTGAATATTAATTTATTGATGTAAATTTTATGTAAGTTTTCTCTAACAGGAGGTAGATGGGGAAAGAAGACATAGGGGGTCATTCTGCTTTTAATTATTTTGTTAAGAGGTCAAACTAACGTTCAGTAAATGCTTTTTTGCAATCTCTTAAAAAAGACTGTTTTCCTTACAATAGTGGGGTTTAAGTTAGAATTCCTTGGTTGAATTTGATTTTAGTGAAAAGAAGAATAAAAGATACCTTTACCTATGAGTTCTGTCATGTCAAACCTTTTAGAGTTCAATTTGTAAAAAGATTGCTTTTCTAGCACCTCTAAGGCCATGGTGTTCATATATATATATGTATTAGCTGGGGGGGATTCTTTATTTTTCCTTAAACACGAAAGAACTGTTACAGTCAAGACATTTAGAATTAAATCAGTTGAAGGTACAGGCAGTTCACCTGAAAAAATAATTCTGCTTAATTCATTTTTTTGTGTTGCTGTCAGGCTGTTGTGCTGCCTACAGTTTGCATGATAAAATGGGAATAATTTATTGACTGTTTTAAACTCCTGACTACTGGAAAAAGTCATTCAGGCCACTTCCTTTGCACTGTCAGTAACTAACTTTACACTATTAACAAATCATGTTCTCATGCATAAATAGTACACGCCTTTTGTCCATACACTGGACTAGAGGAATAGTGTTTCTTCAGGGAAACACTGTCCCATTCCTTTCAGCATCTGTTGATGTGTGTGAAGGTTACAGTCAAGTCCAGTTCAGTCTCTGCAAAGCCATAATAGAACAACAACAGGAACATTATAGACCTCTAATAACAAGCAAGAAAACCTGAAAGATCATAAAAACTGACTTAAGACATTTTTTAAAGAGTGTTTTCAAGGTTTTTCTTCACAGAGGAGACAGGTCTTTGTTGAGCCTGACTCGTACTGCTTGTACTGTTTTGCATAAATTTGCAGTACTGCACTGAGCTCCTAACCTGAAGCATCAGATTTAGGCTTTGATGACTGAATCCAACCGTAGCCACAGATGTTCTCCCAGACATGTAAACTCTGCAGACAGCATTTCTTGTAAAGCTCCAGATTTGGGGTCACAGCTTTCCGGAAGTACTTCAAAATGGGTCTTCTGTGTAAATTTGGAGGATTTTGGAGCAGCACAAATTGCT